TTGAGGGGACCCCGTGAGGGGACACACCTGAGGGGACGGGACACACCTGAGGGGACAGACTTGAGGGGACCCCGTGAGGGGACACACCTGAGGGGACACACCTGAGGCAACTCCCGGGGGGACCTGAGCAGAGGAGCTCAGCGGTAAGATTCTTCTCTGACAAGGAACCAAGGGAAACGATTTCAAAGACTGCTTTTTCAGGAGGGGATTGACCTCAAAACGACTGTTTTTTGGAGAGGTTTGACCTCAAAGAGGCCTCTTTTGGAGGGGTTTGACCTCAAAGCCACCTCTTTTCGGAGAGGTTTGACCTCAAAAACACCTTTCTCGGAGGGGCTTGACCTCAAAAACGTGTTTTGTTTGGGTTTTTTTAACCCAAAAATGAAATAAGTGTGCTGTTTTGGGGTGAAAACCGGCGGGATGGGTCACAGAGCCCTGAGGTGGGAGGGAAGGACAGGACCAGGCGAGCTCCAAACAGGCACTTTTTTATTGTTGGTCACGACACCGACGGACCCCCCCGGAGCACCAGCGTCGTTAATGCCTCAGAAACACGCTTAAAAAATGAGTATTTCGGTGTAGAACACCAGCCCTGCGGGTTTTAGCATTTTTGAGGGTTTTTTTTTTTCCCCCCACCTCGCCCGGCCCCCGATCAGGGGAAGGAGTTGTAGGGACAGGAGTTGCATTTCCAGGCAGCAAAAAGCACCGTTATTCCTAAAAAAAATGGGTCGTTTAATGCCTCGAGTGCAAGCTCCGGGAAGAAAGAGCCCAGGCCGTGGAGTGTGAAGGTTTTCCGGACACCAAAATCCCCCCCGGACAGCTGCCCTCGCTCTCGGCTCTCCCGAAAAAAACCTGACTGACAGGAATATTCCCCCCGTCCGGAGCTCCCGGCACGTGCAGTTTTCACCTTTAAAAAAACAAAACCAAACCACTTCGGGCTTCTCGGGAATTAAAAACCCTTAATTCTGCTCCTCGAGTCCCTCCTTTGCCGGGAGGCAGCTGAGCCAGCCCGGCGGCGTCCCCAAGAACACGATTTTTTCCCAAATTCCTTCTCTCCTCCACCACTTCCAGCCCTCCCAATTCCCGCTGTATTTCGGCTTTTGGAGTAAAGAGAGTTCCTGATGCTCCTCGGCTGCTTCCAGCAGCGTTTCCGCCCCCAAAGGGTCTGGATTTGGGAAGAAAACAGCTGAGAGTGGAGGGGCGAGAGGGAATTCACCCCCGACAGGGACGTTCCGAGTGGAAACTGAACCCAAACCCCCCCAAAACCTGCACAGGGAGGGGAGAAAGTGAGTTAATTCAGGACCAGCAGCAGGAAACACTGGCTGGAGGTGCTGGAAAAGCTGGAAGTGTTATGGAGCCTGGTCATTATTCCCTGAATTATTCCCACTTACCCCAACCAGAGCCTTATTTCACCTTTTTCCTGCAGAGCTTCGCCGTTACTTTTTCCCTTTTGTTTTTAACCTTTCCCTTCATTTTTTTTACTTTCCCTTCACCTTTTTAGTTTTATCTCTTCCTTCATTTTCCTGGCCTCACCTTCCCCTTCCCCTTCCCTGCCCAGCCCTACCCCGGGGCACTGATCACCCGCACTGAGACAGGAGAGGGGAAAAAAAAGGGGGGATTTAAGCAAATTACAGCCTTTGATCCCCGGCCCGGCAGCAACAGAGCCCAAAACCTGTCCCCAGAATTCCCGGGAAAAGCTCAAAATATCAACTAGAGAACCGAGAACGCCTCGGAAAAGCAAAATATACAAAAAAGCCCCCAAAGCACTGAATAATTCCATGGAAACGTTCCCCCCTCTGACACAAACCCCCAAGATCGTGAGGGAATCGGGATAAAAAGCTCGAGGGACTCCGGGGGGGGGGTTAATTCTGTTATGATTTGGGGTTAATTAGTTGTATTTTAGAGTTAATTAGCCCCCTCTCAGCCTCCAAAAGTCCCTTTTTTCCTCCCCCACGTGCCAGGAGCTCTGGACCTTCCCTCGGGCAGGAGCGAGGCGCTGGCTGCCCTCGGGTTTGCTAAAACCGCCCGAAACGAACCCAAAACCCGCCCGGATCCACCCACCACCCCCTGTCCCGAAAGGCAAAGCCTCTGGGGAAGGGTTTGCCCCAAACTGCCGGGTTTTGGATACCGGGACGCGGATTTTGGGGAGGAATCGGCGGAAGCCGCCGGTCCTGGAGAGGAGGTGCAGGAACCGGCCAGAGCCTCAACCCCCCAGTTCTGCCCGGGGACCCCTCGCTCCCCTCCACCCCCACCCCCGACAGGCGGCTACAGAAGCACTAATTAGCTTATTCCTAAAAGAATTAATTAGTTGGGGCCCCAAACAGGGCCCTGGTACGTCCCCGGAGGGCAGCAGGAGCAGGGAGGCCATTCCAGATGGAATCACCAACTGCAGCTCAACATTTTGGGGGGGAGGCCACGACTGAAAAACCCCCTCGAGGAGCCGCCCGGACCCTCCTGGCTCGTTGTCCCGTCGCCTCCGCGCCCGGATCCGCCGGAGCGCCGAGGGAACGCGGAACACGGCCGGGCCAGAGGCCACACCACCCGTCTGCCGGGGTAAAGGAATGGGATCAAACCCAACGGAGCTCGTTTTGGAGTCACCAGCACCCCGGGAGGAGGGACTTTGCCCCCGCCAGAGCCCCGGGCCGGCCGGCGGCACCGACGAGCTCCGGTGCTCGCCGCCACCAACGCGACGCTCCGGGGCCGGATCCTCAACAATCCCCGTTTCCCCGAGCCCCCCTCGCGGGAGGAACCAGCGGTCCGAGGTCCAGGAAGGCAAATTCCACGGGGGACGGGCGGCGGGGGAGGCCGGGCCGGGGGGCTACGCGTCCGCCTGCCCCGCGTTGGTCTTCTTGAGCAGCTTCCTCAGGTCGGGGGACATGAAGTAGGGCTTCTCCGCCGAGCCGTCGTTCCGCTCCAGGTCTTCCACTGCCAAGAGAAAGCCCCCCCGGCCCCGCGGGCGGGGCGGACACGGGCCTGGCTCAGCTGGGACCCTCCAACCACCACCCCCGACCAAACGAAGTCTCTGCGCTCGCCGAGGGCTTCCCCCCTCTCTGCCTCTGTCACAAGGAACGTGCCCAAACACGCGAAGCTCCCCCCTCTCCCTTTTCCCAGGAGAGCCGGGAAGGGCCCGCGGGGATTTGGGAGAAAGCGGAAATTCGGGTGTTTGGTTACTCCGGGGAGGGAAAGTCGAACAGAGCCAAGGGAAAAGAGGTTCCCTGGAGGGAAGGGAGGTCACCTGGAGGGAAGGGAGGTCACCTGGAGGGAAGGGAGGTCCCCTGGAGGGAAGGGAGGTCACCTGGAGGGAAGGGAGGTCCCCTCGGCTCTTCCCAGGGGCTCCGGACACCAATGCAAAGCGATTCCCCTTGGGATTCACCATTCCCAACAAGGAGTGTACTCAACATGCCACTGCACCAAGGGGTCGGAAAATCCCAGGAAAACAACACCTCGAACCCCCAAAAAACCCACAGGGCCCCGGAGCGGAGCGAGGGCACCCGGGGGGGGTTTTGGGAGGGATTTGGGTCCCTCTGGGATGGGAGCAGGAGCGTTAAGGCCACGGCCTCGTCCTGGGAGGGCACAGCTCGGGGTCAGCTCTGGCTGCCCGGGGGGCTGGGAGGGGGCTCTGCTGCTTTTATAAATCCTGATCGGTTCTGGGCTGTCCAGAGGGGGAAACACAGCTGCATTTTTTGGGGGGGCTGTGACCTCCTCCCCCCCCAGCACTTTGGGGGCTGATCTCTCTCCCCCCCGAGGTCACACCCCTGTGATTTCCCCCCATCCCACTGGGGACACTCGCTCTGCTCCCCTGGCACTGCCTCGCCCTCACAGACCCCCCCGGGCACCGCAGCCTGTGTGGGGACTCGCCTCCCTTCCCCACAGGCTCCTTCTTCCTTCCTACAGCCCCCCCGGGCCGGGATGGCCTCGGGAATCATCTCCAGCTACGCCCTGGGAGAGCGTGGAAGTCGTGACAGCCCCCCCGTCGCGACAGCCCCCCACTCGTGGCAGCTTCCAGCGCCTCTGCCCGCGGGAGCCCGGCAAGGCCGAGGCCAAACCAACCCACTCGGCCCCTCCCGGGGGAAAAGCAGCTCCCGGGACCAGCCCCCGCAGCACCCAAAGCTCCAGGAGGGACCCTCTGAACCCCTGGAGTCCCGGGGGGGCTCCGGCAGTGGCTCCTCGTGCTGAAGCAGCAGGTGAGAAACCAAAGCTCTGCAGCCTCACCCAGAAACCTTCCCAGTTCTGCGGTTTGCAGAGAGAGGGGGCCGGGAAAGGGGGCCGGGAAAGGGGGCCGGGAAAGGGGCCGGGAAAGGGGCCGGGAAAGGGGCCAGGGAAGTTTTGCTGCTCTTGGAGAGGGGAGCGCCCAGAGACGGGGTCGGGGCGGTGGAACCCACTCGGCCCGTCCCACAAACCCCCGTCCCGCCGCGGCAGGTCCCTCCCGCCGGCGCTCCCGGCCCTCCCACCCACGCCTGGTGGTCTGGAACAAACATCTCTGGGCACTGTGGGGACCCGGCTGGTCCCGGCCCCGACTCCCAGTGGCGCCGGGCGGGTTCTCTGGGTGCGGGAACGCGAGTTACTGGGCAGGAAGGCGGGCTGGGCGCTGAGGGTCGGCACCCCCCTACCCTGGAAGGACTCCCAGGGCACAGAGCGGCACCAGGAAGCTGCTCAGGTCGGGGGGGGCCGGGAGGGTCCCGCGGTGCCCCCGGCACACGGCGCCGGCCCCCGGCCTTGGCTCTCCCTAGCCTTGGCTATCGGCGCTTTTGGAAGGCTCGAGGTGCCCCTTCAGCAGGATCTCGCTGAGCTCGGGGGACATGTAGTAAGGCCTCTCGGGAGATCCATCGTTCCTCTCCAGGTCTTCACCTTTTCCAACCCCGGGAAGGAGCGGCCGTGAAGGGGGGGGAGAGTGAAAAAAGCAGAGCCGGGGAGAGAGAGACAGGGCGGAGATGGAGGATGGAGAACGTGTGAACGAGAGACACGGGAGGGGCGGAAAAGGAGGAAAAAGAGGGGGGGAAAAGGGAAATTGAAGTTAGCTGCGGTTAATCCCACCGAAAGAGAAGGAGCAGGAGGGAGGCAGGAGCTGCAGCGGGCAGGGGGAAGCAGGTGAGAACGCAGGTGAGGAGTCAGGAAAGGAAAAAAGCGGGAGGAAACCACACGGAGGGAACCCCGGGGGGATTTTGGAGCCAACCCCCAAATCTGGCCAACTCAAGCCCGGAGGGAGGGAGGGGTTTTGCCCCCCCTGGGGTGGGTACTCACAGAAGCAGAGGAAGAGGGTGTCCACGCACATGCCGTACACGCTGAAGAAGCCGTGGGCGATGAGGTAGGAGCCCACGATCACCGTCTGCAAGAGACGCCGCGCGGTCACGCCGTGGCCCCACGGAGAGCCCGGAGCGCCCCGGGGGGAGGAGGAGGAGGAGGAGGAGGAAAACGCTGAATCCCGAATTCCCCAGGGGAAGGGGGAGAAGGGAACAGGGCAGGACTGTTCAGAGCAGCCCGAGGGGGGACAAAAGGCCTCAGGCACGACGGCGGCCGGAGGCCAACGCGGGCAGCGCGGGGAGGGCGCGCGGCCAACGGCGGCCAACAAAGGGCTCGTAGAAAAACACCCAACAAAGACGGCCCTTGAGGCGCCGGGGGCGGGCAGGGGGCTCGCCTGGGGCATCGCTGCCCTTTGCCTCGGGGGTCACCCCGGCCCCAGACGGCGGCTCACCAGAATGGGGACCCAGTAGTAATTCAGCGGCGGCGCCGTGTCCTGGACCAGCTTTATCCGCTGGGTGAAGAAGAAGAAGGCGAGGATTCCTGGGAAAGCAAGCACAGGACGGGCACGGCGGTGGGGTGGCAGCGGCAGAAGGGGTGGGGTGGAGAAGACAGAACACGGGACACGGGAGGGGTGACCTCAGTGGAGGTTTTGGGACGGCACAACCGGCTACGGCAGCCGGACGTCCCGAGGAGGAGCTTCCAGTGCCCGGCGCTTACCGACGCTGCCCACTATGAGGAGCTTCCCGAGGAAGAAGAGGAAATCCGTGACTTTATCTAACACGGCCACCCTGGAAACAAGAGGGAGAGATGAGACTCCACGTCCGCTCCCCGCCCCAGGCTGCGATGGAAGCGCGGGAGGGAGGTCCCCGAGGACGGGGAGCCAGGTCGGGGGTGACCTCGGGCAGTGGGAAGGACTCGGAAGTAACGGAGCAGAGCCCTCCTGGACAGCGGGATCTCACCTGATGATGTTCCTCATCAGCAGGAAGAAGGCGTTGCGGGCCGAGGTGCAGAAGTTGGTGCCGTAGATCGCGATCTAGAGTGGACAAACGGGGCAGAGCAGAGAGAAACGGGGCTGCACCCGGGTCACCACCGAGGGAGGGTGCAACCAGTCCCATCCCAGGGCAGGTCTCCGGTAAATCCCACCCTGGAAGTGCTTCCTCACCCACCGACGGGTCGGGCATCGCGGAGACCCAGAGCTGAGCCCGCCCACCCACAGAGGGTCCTTCCCAAAGTCAACGTGAGGTGGCTGAGATCGAGGTGTGCCAGCCAAGCAGCTGCAGAGCTCCACGTTCCCGTGACGTTGGCGGACACAATTCCCAACAGCCGCCCAGGGAAACCCCCGGGAGCGCCGAGAAGCCCCCACGGCAGCCCCGGCCCCCCCGAGGGCGTCAGTTTGGGGTGACTCTCACCATGATGTAGGCGTTCCTGTTGAGGAATTTGATGAATTTCTCCAGGCACCAGAAGCAGCACTTGAGGCAGCTCAGGAGGAACTTGGCAAACTTGTTCTCTGCAGCTGGAGGGCACCGAAATCAGCACCAAACGGATCTTCCAGCAGCGACTCCAAGGTCCCTGGTGGAGACCTTGTCCCACCACCCCACCACGGCCTCCCCCCGTGCCTTGTTTTCAGCCTCCCTGTGGCTGCAGACAGTGGGATGAGCCCCGTCTGCTCTTCCCACGCTCCCACTCGCTGTTTACGTTTCCCGATGAACGCGGCACAGACTTCCCTGGCACCCGCACAGGCCCCCGGGGCGGGCTGGCTGAGCCCGGAGCCACGGCACGTCCCTTGGCTCCTGCCCCGGGAAACTCTTCCCAGAATCCCGAATTATGGAACGGTTCAGGTTGGAAGGCACCTGGGAGCTCGTCCTGTCCCGGGCAGGGACACCTTCCACTAGCCCAGGTTGCTCCAAGCCCCGTCCAGCCTGGCCTTGGACGTTTCCAGGGATCCAGGGGCAGCCGCAGCTTCTCTGGGCAACCCGTGCCAGGGCCTCCCCACCCTGCCAGGGAAGGATTTCTTCCTTTCTTGGACAAAGAGGCGACTACGGGGCTCTAAGAGGAAAACCCTGATCCTCCCCCCAAACCCAGGAGCGATTCCCCTGGACTTGAGCCCCGAGCCCCGGCCCCGAGGGCCGCGGGGAGCGGCCGACCTCGCCCCTGCCCTCATGGCCATCGCGGCCCCGGTACCTTTGAGCCGGTGGTCCAGGTACTCCAGCGTGACCCTGATGACCTGGACGATGGCGAGGACCAGCGCGCCGAAGGCCAGCGAGCCCGTGTGGTACCTGGGGCGGGACCGTTAGAAAGGGGACAACCCCCGGGAGCCACCCGGGGTCTCCCCCGCCCGCGGGGACGTACCGGAGCGCGCGGCCGAAGGCGGAGAAGAGCGGGAAGGCCGGCATGTCGTCGGGTTTCTTGAAGGCCCAGTAGTAGGAGGCGAAGGCGCCCGCCAGCGTCACCTGGCCCAGGGCGATGACGAAGTTGGCGAGCCAGAAGAACATGAAGACGTTGAAGAACTGCAGCACGATGAGGTACTTGTGATAGGCCGTCTCGCCACCGTAGAAGGCGAAGAGGCACTGGGCGTCGGGGCACAGCTTGGTGACGTTGCTGGTGTTGAAGGTCTGCGGGGAGAGCAGAGGTGTCGGTGGTGATGAGGTGGGATGTGTCCCCTTCCCTCCGAGCAGCCCTGGCGTTCAGAGACGTCCTTATCCCGCTCAGCTTCCCAGGAGGGTCGGCTCAGACCAGCTCCAAGCATGTGGTGGCTCAGGGAGAACAACCCGACACAGCCGGGCTCGGAAAGCTGGAACTGCGCCGGGGAGGAGCGCGGGGGCTCCGAGAGCCACCGGGATGCTTCTCACGCAACGAAGGGTCTCATCTCTGCCAGGTTTCCCCGTGCCCTCACCTCCGGCCTGCAGGTCTGCCCGGAGAAGGGGCAGGCGGACTCGTTGAACACCTTGTACACGGCCTCGTTGGAGGTGGACAGGAAGCTGCGGAGCGGCCGTTAAGGAGAGCCCGTTTCCCAGCCCCAAACCCAACCCCAACCCAGCCTCTGCTCCGCTCCCACCAACCTCCCCCCGCCGCTCCTGCACCCAGGGCTGGTTTGGGGCTAAACTTCAGAGATTTAAGGCGGCCGCTGCGCCAGCGGATCCCGTTCCGTGCCCGGGGGAGCCCTTTGACTCGCGGGCAGCTTCCTTGCCGGGGAACAGGGAGGCAGGGCAGGGGAAGAGCAAAGGATACACGGCGGTGCTGGCCCAGTAGGCGATGCAGAGGCACAGCAGGAAGAAGGTGCACAGGGGGAACAGCAGCGAGGACATGACGTGACCGACGGCCCTGCGAGAGGACGGCCACGCCGCGGTTAAAGCCCGTGGTGCCGGGAGCCCCCCCAGACACCGGGACGGGACGGGGGGCAGTGGCCGTGGGGCGGGGCCGGGCGGACCTGCTGGCCTCCTTGATGAGCGCGATGGCGATGAGGATCCTCTTGCGGAGGAAGATGAGCAGCAGGACGATCACCAGCTCCACCACGCACAGGATGATCACTGCCGGGGGACAAGGGGAGCCCCGGGAATGGGGGCGGCGCGAGACCACCTTTGCCTTCCCGGGGAAGAAACCCCTCGTGGCTCCCCCACCGGGGACATCCGGCACTGGGCAAAGCTCCTCCTTCGCAAGGAGACCCCCCAAAACCCCCCGTGCTCCCCCTTCGCCGCGCCCCGGCACTCACGGAAGGCCAACCACGTCTGCCGCAGGTGGAGGTAGACGCGCAGGTCGGTCTGAAAGCCCAGGTCCGCCAGGGACACGTCCGAACCCGCCTCCCCTTTCAGCTTCGCGTATTCCATGTAACAGTGGAAGATTCCTGCGGGGAAAAGCAGAGGATTGTCCTGTTTTCAGGGAAAAGTGGAGCCGGACGCCGGCGGGCTCCGCTCAACCCCACCAGCGCCGACGTTCGGGGGGAAGGCAGCTGGAAGGACACGGAGTGTGAACTTCCATGAGGCAAATCCCGCTTAAAATAGGGAGTGGAAAGTAGGGAAAAGCCAGGGAGGTGCTCCCGTCCCCCCCGCTCACCGTATCCCAACACCAGGATCACCATCACGATCATGACCCAGACCATGATCCCGGCCAGGAAGCGCAGCAGGACGATGAAGATCAGGCTGGCCACCATGGCGATGACGAGGCCTCTGCGGGAGGAAGGTGCTGGTGTGTCACAGCCCCCCCGTGCCACCCACAGGGCACCCCAAATGTGGGATTTGCGGCGAAGAGGGAGCGCGAGGAGGAGCGGAGCAAAGCTGCTCCTCCGGCACCTCACGCTTTGCCCGACGGGAACCACGGGGGGGAAATCATTAAATCCCTGAGTTTTGCCCCGTTTGTGCCAGCCCAGCACCCGGCTCTGCCCGCGGGGAGGGAGGGCCGTGCTCACATGATGATCCAGTACCAGGACACCGTGTAATCCTCGAAGATCTTCATGGCCAACTGCCGGGTCTCCAGCACCACGTTGGCTTTCCTGCAAGGCAACGGGAAACGCCGATGGAGCGGGAGCTCCGAGGAGCCCGGGGGGACGGACGCGGGTTTTGGTGCGAGATTTCCGGCGGACACCAGACCCTGGCTCGGGTGAAACCGCTCGTTCCTCGCCGGGCGAAGCAGCGCTAACGAACGGAGCCGCTCGTTAAGCGGCTCCCGGACTCACTTGGCCCCTTCCAGCAGCTCGGTGACGTTCCTGCGGTGCCCGCGGCCGTCGTCGTAGGTGGTCTCGTTGCCCACCATGATGACGCCCTTCTTAGCCTGGATGGCCGGGAAGCATCTCCGCGCCACTGGCGACAGAGAGGAGGGGGCGGCTCAGCCGGGACAACCAGCCCGAAGCCCCCGCGGGACCCCCAAACGGGAGCCTCCGACCCTCAAAACCATCCGGATGGAAGTGAGGACAGAGCGAGCGAATCGTTAACGAGCTCATTAATGAGCTCCCCGCTAATTCTGGACGTACTTACAGGGGGTGCTGGGGATGAGCATGGCCGGGCACTCCCTGTCCTTCAGCACCTCGATGGGACCCTGGAGGGGGGGAAGGACACCGGGAGCTGTCACTGCTCTGGGCAGGAATCACCCCCGCGGCGCTGGAATGCCGGCACTGCCACCGGAACGCCGGCACCACCACCAGAATGCCGGCACTGCCACCAGAATGCTGGCACTGCCACTGGAACGCCGGCACCACCACCCACCTTGCGCGGGTCGAAGGTGGGGACGCAGAAGTTCCGGTAGTATCCCAGCTCTCCGGGCACGCCGTGGGCCGTCAGGTACGTCAGGTACCGGTCGGGGCATTTGCTGACGCAGATCTGGGGGTGGGCAGGACACAGGGGGGGGGATTGGAGGTGACGGTGTGGGACCCTCCCCCCTCCCAGTGCCCCGCGGGGACCCCTCGGGGCGGGCGGGGGGTCTGGGCCGTACCTGTGTGGTGGGGCACTGGAACTCCAGCAGCACCAGCGGGCTGGCGCACTTGACGATGTCGAAGTAGAAAAGGAAAGGCTTCTTCCTGCAGAAGGAACCGAAAGGTTCGGGGGACCCTCGCGGCGCCCCGGGGGCTCCCCGGGGGGGTCTCTGGGGTGACGGGACGGGCACTCACTCGTTGGGGGTCCCCTGCTGCCCGCAGAACTGCCCGCGGCTGTCGGTGGGGTGGATCACCTTCCGGGGGTCCCCGTGGGTCCAGGCTGGGGGGCACAGGATGGGGTTGGAGCCAGGGGGGTCACTGCAGCCCCCACAGCCCTTCCAGAGGGGCGGGACCCTCGGCATGGGGGGCAACCCCCGGAGCCCCCAGACCCGACCCTCAGCACAGGGTCCAACCTCCCCTGAGC